CAAAGATGTGTACACTAAATACACTCATTACTACTGAGTACTGCTGCTCTAAGGCTCTCTCAGTAGCAGAGCTAGGGAATGTGTGTATGTATATATGCATGTACGTAACCAATTTCCCATTACTGCTATTTTCTTTCTCCATGTGTATACCCTTACCATACTAGTTGGGCTCCAAATTGGCCAAGACTTGGGCAAGACTCTCAATAAGCATAAAATAGGGTATTTAGCCAAAGTTAAGCAACTAATATGCTAACATTAAATGCTTCCATATTTGCCCTCACTTTCCTTCCCTTACATTCCTTATCGTTTACACAACCTGATACCCCAAATTGGCAAAGAACAACTCAACGTTATTCCCTTGACAGCTACTCAGTATAAGGCACCACAATTTATAGACTTCTTAAATTGTGAAGAAAACAAATCTTACCTTTTGGAAGCCTGATTAAGTTAATCAAGATTGCTTAGCATTTTCAGCAAAGAAAAACCTTGGACCTGACTTCCTAAAAACCTTTCAATGTGCGCTAAAACTATCCCTAGAACTCCAGAGACATACCTTCTAGAGGTTATTTGGTACTGGAGCCTTAAATCAAACATTCATGAAATGCTATATGTAATATAGAGCCTCTTGCCCATGAATAATCTACATTCTAAGCTTTAAAAAGTGGTATTATTATTTTTCACTTGACTCTTATTTCCATTGCTTTCATGCTTGTTAGTGTATCTGAAAAAAATACATCAGGTACACAAGCTTTGCTCCAAAGCTCATTTCTCTTATAGAATTCTTCCTCAAACACTAAAGCAACCTGTTGGTAATAAAGCTGTAAAAATAAAGATTTAACACCTACTGACACATTCTCAGGGTGCTTGCACAGTGAGGTGGTTTTCTAATGGTGGTGGTGGATTTTAGAACTCTCACCTGGTTTCCTTTGAAAAGAAATAGGTCTGCTGACAGAGAGCAAGATACCTAAACATAGCACACAAAGTCTCTAAAATTTAAATATAGATCACAACATACCCAGTTACTCAAATAGTAATTATAAAAAAAATTCCACTGTTGTGATTTGTAAAATTGTTGCATAATTGTTCTACCATATAAATATCTAATTGTTATATCAGTAGGCAGGGTTGCTTAAGTTGTAAAGGCAACAGGTAGCAAAGTTCGAAGCTAGCTTATTTGATTCAAAACAATCAATTAACCAGTCAAAGATCAACTATAACAGGCTTAAGTACTTAAAATACTACTCTCACAGTTGACCTTTGAAGAGCTATGCCTTGCTCCTCAAATTTCTTATATTAAATATCACAGTTCAACCCTACAGACCCAATTTTAAATTAGCCTCTGACTCATAAGGACTTCAAAGTCAGTCATCTGGTGTAGGCTCCTCCTCACCCTCACCACCCCGCCCACCCTCATTCATGAATCTCTTTCCTGGAATCTCTGAGAGAAGATTATTCAAGCCCCCTCACACAATATGTTGAAAGGCTCTGTCACTAAGACAGAGTGTCACAGGAGACACTAAGCTGGGTTCCAGTCCAGGGTCTGCCATGAAGTATCTAAAATGTCTTGGGGTAAGTAAGCCATTTCACTTCTCCAGCCTGTATCTTCAAGCATAAGATGTGGGGAAAGACCAGTTGCTGTCGAAGGTCCCTTCCTGTTCTAAACTTACATAATTATGATTTCCAGTGAGGCTCACTATTTCAAGAAAGAACTCATTTCATTTTTACACAGCTCTTATTGTTGAAAGGACTTTCTAAATTTCCAAATATACACATTCTTCAACCCTGAAATTTCACTTCTTGAAATCTACCCTAGAAATGATGACCACGTGTACATAGAAAAAAATCAATTAGTATTGTGTGTAAAAACAATTAATTAGAAACATCCATTCCTAGAGAAATAAATACAGCATGACATAACACCATGGGATACTATGCAGCAATTAAAAGAACGAAGGAAACCATGTACTCGCTAATGGAAAAGATCTCCAAACCATACTATAAATAAAAAAAAAAACTGCAGAACATGTACATTTCGATGCCATTTATGAAAAAAAAAAACTATGACAGTTTACATGCGACTTTCTACAATGATGGAAATGTTCTGGATCACAGTTTAGTACAGTAGCATCCAGTTACCCATGACTACTGATATTGTGACTGAGAAACAGAATTTTACATTTTATTTAATTTTAACTACTTTAAATTTAAATAGCCACATGTGGCTACTGGCTATTATACTTGACAGCACAGGTCTAGAAGAACAATCTGAACTGATAATAGTACTTAGTTCCCTCTAAAAAGGAAACTACAAAGAAATGTAGAGGTAAACAAAGGTGAACTTTTGCTTTACCTGTACTGTTTGAATGTTTTAAAGCAGGTAATACTTATTATTTATATAAAATAAAACTTAAAAATAAAAGACCTTGTTAATACTGAGATAAAAATCTGCCTATGAAGCACCAAAGAATGAATTCACTTTTTCTCTTTTGCTTTTGCCATACCTGAAAAAAATTGGAGAAGTATGAGAGCTTTCCTCAATAATACTCTTTAAATCATATTTCCTCACATATCTCTTCCCCCCCACATCCCCTTTTTAACAACTACAGTAACTTCAGGTACAAAAGGTACAAAAATATAGTCATAAAGGCTATTAACTCATTAGCAAGGGAGCAGGACATACAGTACTTTCTAAGAATGTTTTCCAATGGAGGTGATGAATTTGTGCCTCTCTATGCAACAATGCTTCCTATACTGAGAAAGAAAGACAAAGAGGAAGAGAGAAGAGAAAAAAGGAAAGAAGAGAAGAGAAAAGAAGCCATAGCTCCCTAAGTGTTCCCTTCTCCAAGCCAAACACTTCCAGTTCTCCACAGAAACAGAGCCAGAACCCTCTCAACATTGCATGGCTCTACTGCAACTCAGAACAAAAACTCAAGTCAAAATATTAACATTTCTTAGACACTTCTCTTAGTGGTAGGGCATATTCACCCAGGGTCTCAGTACAGACTTCTAAACTTTTGGTCATTCATTTGTTTATAAATAAATAGTGAGTACCAGTAAATGCCAGGCACTGCACTTAGCAGAGGTGGTACAGCAATAAACAAGATTCACATGTTGACCGAGCCTCTGCCCCCAAAAGCCTTATTACCAAAAATTCTATTGGAGTTGATAAACACTGAAAAACCTTGATTTCAGCTTATTCCAGACAGTCCAACTCACTTGTTGCTGAATACAACTAGGACCATGAGACCCATACAATCTTTATTCAAGTTTCTAATACAGGGGAAAATTCTACATAGTGTGTCCAAATTCTCCAGCGCAATGGGGTAAGTCTAATGAGTAATTCCCAAATGTCCCTTAGACCAAGTTTTCAAGAGTCCATGGCAAAAATGTAAAAAAATTAATGTAACATATACAAGTAGAGTAAGCTTGCCTATAGAGATTCTCTTTATTATGAAGTTGTGCCCCCTTTTTTTGTATTGTATTAAAATGTTCTCTACCTCATGAAATAGTGGTTTTGGGTAGAAAGCAGGAAGTACCTTGTTTTTTATTTGGTTTGTTTTTAAACAGTCTTACTTGACAAATAACAAAACAGCAATCAAACCTCTGTAACAAATATTTGTTATTTTATTTGTCCATGTCACCCACAGATTTAAAGGACTCAAGAAGTTCTCTCTGCTCTAAAATGCATAACATAAAGCAGGCAATTATTCCTTCAAAGCACATATTTCCACAAGAGTTAAGTCATTACATTTTGACATGAGGAAAAGTTAAAGTTACCCACTCTTGCTGTATAATTTTCAAGGACATTAATATGACAATAAAACCAGTTAAAAAATCACAGGATTAAATAAGCAAAAAGTCTAATCAAACAAAGTACTGGTGACAGTAACAATTGTAATTAATGACAGTTACTTCGGTAACAATAAAAGTAACCAATTTTTATCTAAGTTATTTGTAGCTAGTCTTAAATATCACCCACACTGAAAAAGGAGGTTTACTTTTAAGTTCCAGAAAGGGGGTGTGGGAGACAGAAGAGAGAAAACGAGGGGAAAGATCACTTGTTAATAATAATAATAATAATACAAACTCTATCACATAATTAAGTGTATCACTAGTAACGACTAATTTTATTTAGTACCTGAAAGTGAGACAAAGCTCCCACAAGGCACCCATCTCTTCTCCACTCACCCATTCCTCAATGAAAAGTATTTGCCCTCACCTTCTGATTATACTTATATGTAAGGCTTAAAATGTAGGAGGCTAATATAACACAGCCTAAACCAAGGGGTTTTCAAGTCAAGCAGCCCTGAGTTCCCTAGATGTGTCTCTTACTTTCCATGTGTGACCTTAGGCAAGTCATTCAACCTCTTCAAGTCCGACTAGGCTGTAAGCTCCGTAGAGCAAATTTCACTTCTGACTGACTTAGTACTGCAGGCAAATAGTATTGAAATACCAGATTCTTCTTGTACAAAATAAGGATGTGAATAACATCCTTACAGCAGCAACTAGGGGATTAAATTAAATATTATTTACATAAACCTCTGGCGCAGTGACTGATCATAGCAAATGCCCCCCCCAAAAAAAAATACCACTTACTGACATCAACTGACAGCTATCAAACCTGAAAGTAGTTTGAAGACTTTCAAATACTAACATAAAAAGAATTTACCCAGTAAATGCTAGTTGCTTAATTAATAAAAATATTCCACAAAAAGGGTACGAATAGTTTCTAAACCACTGGGCTGGGAATGTAATCATAGATGAACCTTGAATTGCGTGTAACAAACCCAAGCTCTTAATAGACATTTAGTCGACTCCAAGTTTTTCTACTTCAAAAGTAGGCCCTAAGCATCCTCCCATTGGTCTCCCACTCTCCCAGTGGACGTCTCGGGCTGTCAGGGAACCCCCTCCTCCGCGCTGAGGGGGAGGAGAGAGGAAACCCGGAGGAGGGGGCCGGGTGGGGGGAAAGCGCGCGTCCCCGCGCCATCGCCCAGACCCACCTTGAGCAGGATGGATGGCGGCAGCTGGTTGATGTCTGGGGTTTCGGGGGGCGGCTCCCTAGGGCAGTCGCAGGGGTTTCCATGGGGGTCCTGACAGTCCGCGTCGCCGCAATCGTGCTGGGCAGGCGAGGGGGCGGCGCTCCCCACTCGCACAGCGTCCCCGCCGGCCTCGGCAGGGGCACCTTCGGAAGTGGGAGAGGAGGGCGGGGGGCAGAGAGGTTGTGGCGGCTGCTCCGAGCCCGGGCAGCCACCGGCATCGGGGGGCCGCGGAGGCGAGGCGCCCCCTCCCGCCGGCCCGCCGCCGCCGCTGCCCCCACCGCCACAGCGGGGCTGCTTACAAGGGGTGCAGGCGGGCACCCCGGCCCCCTTCCGCTTGCACACCATCTCAGGGGGCGTGGGGGGATCGGCCGGCGGCGGCCCCCGGAAGAGCTGCACCGCGACAGGCGGCCCCAGGAAGCGCACGGGCCCCACGCTGGCCAAGAAGAGGCTCCGGCCCTGCTGCTCCCAGGCGGCGGCCGCAGCCAGCCCCAGCTCTCTGCAGCAGGCGGCGGGCGACGAGGCTGAGGCGGCGGCGGCCGCGGCGGCGGCGGCCGAGGAGAGTAGGAAGCGGCGGGCAGCGGCGGCGCAGTCCTCGGCGGCCAGGGCCGCGCAGCGCCGCGCCAGGTGCTGAGGGGAGGCGGCCGCGGCGTAGGCCCCGTCCCGCGGCGGCGGCGAGAGCGGCGGCTCCTCCTCTGGGCCGGCGGGGGCGGGAGCGCCGGGGCTGTGCACGATGAAGCAGAGCATGCAGGGCCCGCGGAAGAAGCAGTCCCGGCTCCGGGGCGCCGCCGGCTGTGGGGGCGCCTTGGCCGGGGTCCGGCGGGGCAGCCTGAGGAGAGGGCGGCGGCGGCGGCACCAGCTGCAACAGCGAGGCCTCTTCTGGTTCGGGCGGTTACGCGACTCCTTCGAAAGAAGGTGGCCCATATAGAAGGCCCCGAGGAGGGGGACCGGGACGGGGAAGGAGGGAGGCCCGGAGAGGCGGGTTCCCGGCAGCGGGGCAGGCCGCTCGCCGACTGGGCCTCGGGCCCGCGGCAGGGTCGCCCTCCCTGCGCACACACGCGCACACACGGGCACACATGCGACGGTGGGGGGTGGGCGTCAGCTGCGGGCCGCCTCGGCGCCCGTCGGGGGCTACATGCTTTGCCCAGGGAAGCCGGGAGAACGATGGGCGCGAGCTTTGGGTACGCGACGGAGAGAGCGAGCCTGCCGGCTGGGCGACCAGTCCGAGCCTGACCCGCCGGCTCAGTCAGTCACTGCGTCGGCAAGGGGAACGCAGGGTCCCGCTCTGACCATTTTAACTGCGGCTCCGCCGGCGGCGCGCGCGCCCGCGACACAGCTCCGAGCCGCAGGAGCGCGCGGCCAGCTCCGGCAGGGGGCGGAGCTGGCTGCGGCGGCGCGCTCCGGGCGGGGCTGCGGTCGCCGGCTGCTCTGGGCACCGCGGCTAGCGTGGGACTACTGGGACGCTGGCCGGCGAGCGAGCGGGTCTCCCAACCCCCTGTCCCCAAGGTTTCACGGAGTCACTTGGCCCCCGCCTTTTTTGGGGGGCCGGAGGAGACCCTTCGGAACCAGCTGTGTGACATCCGTTTGCAAAGCTGCGCTGACGTCTTTAGGTATAAGTTCAAGAACTGCCATTGGCCCGGAGCCGCTCAGCTCTTCCTTTCACCCCCACCCCCGACTTTAGGACTGTGGCCACTAAGGAGTTGCAAACAGGATTCAGTCTGAAGGCAGACCAGTGTCGGGGCTGCCTCTTTGGTGGAGTGGCAGATGTGTGCCCCTTAGGTGCTACGGACCGGTGTTCTCACAAAGGGGTTAATTGGTAGAGCAACAGTGTTGTGTTTCTCCTCCTGCTTTCATACTTTTGTTACTTGTGGCAGATTACTAACTACATAACTTTATTTCAAGATGAAAGCGTGTATCAAATTACCTATACATACCAGAAAGATAGTTTGTCAACCCAGTGAGTCAATCCAGCATCCCAGGCGATAAGCTAAAGGTCTGAACCTTTCAAGTCCCATCTATCTATCACATACTTTAAAAACGATTGTGAAGTGCTTGATGTATTATAAAGTGGTTCTAGGTAGACCTTGGTGACTGAGCGGAGAAAGAAAGTAGGCTTTGCAGACAACGCTTAGAAGGTTTGATACCAGATAATGATACCAGAGAGACAGTACAGTACCTGGTGTTGAGAGATTAGTTTTCACGAGGGAGAAGAAATTGGAAGAGGCCTAGTGATGGGAATAAGCTAGTTTAAAGAAGAAGATAAGAGATAATACAAGGCACTTGAGAAGATGGAATAGCAAGTACCTTAGGCGGGATACCATCTTCACTGTGATTGGAAGGAATAAGGAAAGGAGGGGTAAAGAAGGGATGCAGTTAGGTGGATGTTTCTGGAAAGGAAAGGAGAGGGGAGAGAAAGGAAACGGTTTCTTCAAATGGTCTCTTTCTTTTAAGTGGAGCCCGGTTACCTGATGAAGGGTGGAAGGACGATGGCAGGAGTTTCTAAAAGCCACTGAGGATAACTTGAGAGAACTAGTTGAGGAAGCAAAATTCAAGGTCCATCCCCTTAGAGACCATTGTTTGAGCCTGTGTAATCTTAACCACCATAGTGGCCAGCCTCACCTATCCTTCACCCAAATGTACTATCAAACCTTTGCTAATAATTGCCTCTTTGTTAAGAATGACTTTTATTTTAGGCCTACCAGTATTCAGGGAGCTCCCTTTCTGAGCTTGATCATGGTGAGATGGAAGTCCAAGAAACCTAGAAGCAAAGATTCATGAAAGGGTTTTAGGTACCTGTTACTATCAAATGCATTGCCCACACTACATTTACCTATGTATATATTATCCACACAGTTTTCATTCCTCTAGCTGTACAGGTATATTCTAGGGCCCCAAAGCTTGATTCTTAAGGACGGGAGGTTAGGAGTGACCAGGATTGCCTGAGGCCTTATAAAAGATCCTTTGCCATCTCTACCAGACTGCACTGTGAACAAAAGGAGAGGGATTCTAAGCTTTGTATTTACTTTCACTATGTCAAAATTGCAGACCCATTAGTTTCATGTAAGATAAACACACAATGACTTAGTGATCTCACAGGTGTTGATCTGAGAAAAATAAAAGTATATATTCATGAAAAGACTTACACAACAATGTTTATGGCACCTTTATTCATGATCACCAAAATGTAGAAGCAGCCCAGATGTCCATCAGCAGAGAAAACATAAATAAGCAGGTATACTTATTCAATGGACTATTGCTAAGTAATTTTTTTAAAAAGAAAACAAAAAAAAACAAGAATGAATCTCAAAAACTTAAGCTGAATCAGACTCTCTGCAATTGGAGGCCCTAGAGTCTCTATGTAATTTTATTGATCTCCCTGTGTGATTACTGCACAGACACCCTGACACCATGTAAACCTTTCAAAAACTACACATATAATCTAAATTCTTGTTTCAGAGATGAGGCAAGTGACTTGGACACTTTTGAAGTGGTTTCTGAAATTCACAGCACTAATTCTTAACTTCCAGTTCCAGAGCCTTTCAGCCACACGCAGGTGGCTGTTTTTCTCTTCACCACAACGTGTAGCATCTTACATATGTGTCTTATATATTACAGTAATGATGTAGTAAACTACTACTGTTGTCACCAGAGCTGTAATGAGTATTAGAATTCAATACCCTTAATAACAATTCTGATGATATTCTAAATATTCAGGAAACAATTACAAGTAAGAGTTATACATTGCTATTTAGAGGTAATAGTAGCACTTGATGGCTTTGTTACTAAAAGAAAAGCTGCCTGAAGTGGGAGCTGGTCTGGCTGGAACTATTAAGTAGGCTGTGGTGTCACTGTCCTCAGATAGGTCTGAGTGTTCTATTGAACATAATTTCACAAAACATCAACATCAGACATGATCATCCTGTGATCATGACAGACAAGACAAAAATAAGACCCTTCATAATCATGACCAACCACAGCAAATACAAGAGGATTCTGCAAACCACCAAAATGACCAAACATTCTAGCAAATATAAAGTGACTTCTATTTCTTGACCAATTACAACCTTATCTTTGATTCATTCTTCTTTCCTTGTAGATAACAATTACTATTATTTTTAGGAGATTCATAGTTTATTTCTCCAGTGATATTTGAATATAAATTAAAGGCCTGCTTCCACACCAAAGCCAGGTCCTTTGGGTGGTTCAGTCAAAGAGGTGAGACTCCCAGCTGGCTCATAAGAAAAGTGTCCTCTCCTTGGCGCAGGCTTTGGAATTTTTCCAGCCTTGAGCTCATCAATAATTTCAATATCCTTAGGTGTCAGATCTTCATAGTAGTTGTCATTTATTTGAACCATTGGTGCATTTTCCCAGGCCCCTAAACATTCTACCTCTATAACTGAAAAGTTTGTCAGGTGTAGTCTCCCCAACCTTTATTCCAAGCTTTTACTGAATGGCCTCCAGTATGCTGTCAGAGTTTCAAAGCATACAATGTGTAGTAGTGCAAACCTGAACGTGATACTTTCCAACTGGCTTCCAATTATTTATTGTATAAAAAGTTACTCCTTCATAGACTCTGATTGGAGGTACTTGTAAAATTCCTGCAGCCTTGTTCATAGCAGAGATGGGCAGCCATCCATTCTGTCTTTGGGCTGAATCCAGGACTGGAAGCACAGCTGCTGCTTTATGCCCTTCTGGGTAGTTTTTTAGAATTGCTTCTGTTCTCTTATAGTTTTCTGGTGTGAAACCAAATGGAGTATCTGGGTTATTCTCAGGAGTATCTCAAATAAGGCTCCTCCAGCTCCATTTTGCACAGCTGTCTTATGTAAATTCCTTACGTCTTCCCCACTGGGTGGTGAGGCCAGCCGCCCTGGCCCGGGGTGCTGTGGAGAAGAACCTGGTGGGCAAAACTGTTGGTGTTTCCCGGCAATGCCAGACGAGGATCCCCCTAGATAACAATTATTAAAATATCCAGTCATAGAATTACCTCTGCTTCCTGGCAGCATCCATTTCAGATCAAAGCCTTGACCTTCCCCAAATCACCTAACTCAAGTCCAATCCTATAATATCATTTTAAATTATTTTTTATCTTTTAATTATGCTTGACATACATTATAATGTTAGTTTTTGTTACAACACCTTCTTACTGAGACCCTCCATAGTTCCTCATGGTGTGTTATCTGCTTCCTTGTGACAAGTCAATAAACCCAACTTGGTTTGACAATGAATGTGTTCCCTCTGGTTTTTGACTGAAAGGCACTCACATTTTTTTATAATCAAATGTTACCACCTTATCAAACTACTACCCCCTTATGCTGTACACTTTAAACTTATGCAGTGCTGTATATCAATATCTCAATAAACTAAAATGACTTCTTCCTTTACTCCTTCTTCTTACCCTGTTTTTATTTTCTTTATGCCTCATTATCACACATTTATTTTGCCTTTATTTTTTTAATTTTCAGTCTCTTCCAGTAGAATGTAAGCTTCATGAGGACACAGACTTTGTTCAGTTTTTAGGAACATAATCTACAGCTGTGTGGAAGAGGGACTAGAGTAGGAAGACACTTACAGCAGGAAGACGAGTAAGATTGTTCAAAGGGTTGATGCAGAGGTCTTAAAAGCATGAACTAAGGCAACCATGGTGGGGATGATGAAGTAGGGGTAGAACTGGAAAATATTTCTTACATGGAGTTTTCAGAATTTAATGACATGAATTAGATAAAAGGGGATGATGGATAGGAAGGAAATGAAGAAACATTAATGACTTATTTTCATATTTGAATACAATTCAAACCTGGAGTAAACCTTTGTTATGACATAGATTCACATTGAAAGCCAGTATATAAATTTAAAATGTTGCACACAGTTTAACATGAAAGACTCCTCCTTCTTCTTTGCTGACATAGAATATATTTACTTTGAAATTCACTTTTGCATATAAATGAGACCCATGTATAAAGGACTTTAATGCTTGCAGATGGGTGATGATTGTTGTAAATAGCTAAAACCTCCTGTGGCACCCATGATGGAGGCAGAGCACAGTGAACATGCTGTT